TACACTTTGCTCCGCTGAAATTAGCAGTATCTTGCTGGAAAGATCAATACGCTTTTTGAAGGATTTTGATTTTGATGTGTTCTAGCAATATAGCGTTTTTGTAGAAATCCAGATCTTAAATATTTTTTATAGTTTGACATCTCGTTCACAAGTTATCGGAACATATTCAGATGAAACTTTTGCATATTTGCTGCATGCATGGAAAAGAAAACAATTTAGATAAAAATGCAATGAAGAGAGGTGTTCGTCATTTGCATTGCTATGAAAAGTGCCCCAGTAGTAGAACGCGCTTTGTTCCTGTTTATTCAAAGACCGGAAGCACTTTGAACAACGTTTGCCTTGTCAAAAGTATGACAGCATTCTGAAATATAATATTTTCATGTTGTGGACCAATGTAAGAGCGCATCCTGAGGTTGCGTTCTTTCCTTCTAGCAGCTCTTAAAGGAATGAGGAAGAAGATAGTGAGGATAGAGTGAATTTTCTTCAAGGGAAGGATACGGGATTGTGGCCATTTAAAGTAGGAAGCAAAACTTTAGCGCTTCGCTATGATTTCAAATCTGGCTTCTTTATGTGCCAAACGATGTTTTAAAAAAAGTTACAAAAGCTCGTTCCTTTCCGCGAAAGATAGCATGCGCAGTCAGCCATTTCTTGCTCGAAAACTCAAAAATCGTTTAAAGGATGGAACAGAAGCTCATGTTTGGTCGTAAGGCTGTATTTGTCAGCGGCTAAAGCTTTTATTTCATTTGCTGAAGTTAATTGTTCGAGAAATAAATAGTATTTTATACAAGCTAGCTTTCGCGGAATTAAAATTTCATGACTCCTTTCAAATCACTGGCAGATATGGAAGAAACTTTGAAATCAACGGATAATCTTATCTAACGATATGCCCTTTATTTTACACGACTGAGGTTATCAAGTATTCTTCCCTTGTAATCTCCCTTTAGCTGGCCACGTTGGGCTATAGAATAACTCTACAGATTTTTAGGTCGATCATATCTTTGTCTGAGCTCCTACATCAAGTAGGTGCCTCAAGAAGAGAAAGAACGCATCTTGTTGTTAACCTCTCATCGTAGAGATTTTGATGTTGAAGTTGAAAAAATACTGGTATACATCTAATCTTGGAATGTTCGTGTATTTTGGAAGTCAGAGTGAACCCCTACTATTAACACTCACTTCTTTGTGAGTCACAGGATGGGCCTCATTCGTATGCAATTTCGAGATTACGAATATATACCTCCATAATCTATTGATGTGAAGGTTAGACCTAAGCTCGTAGTTCAGCCTTAGGTCTACTTCACATCGGCAATTCAGGCAAAGGTAGCTTCTTTTTCACAAAATGAGGAACCATTTTTCTGTTTTCAGACTAATGTTCAGTGATGAGAAGTAAGTGGCTGCATGCTCAACATTAAACCCTATTTGAAAGTTATCATCAACTCGTAACTTGTGCTTTTCTAGCAATAAGCTGGTGCTTCAGATTTGCAGATATAGAAATGTATGATGATGATTCATCCGACCCATATAATTCTACATAAGGCATTGCACTT